GTATCCAGCACCTTAACTACCACACCACCTGCTGGTCCCCAAAACTGGGGGAATTTTTTTTTAAAGAATTATTTTATTTAACTTTATTTATTTATTTATTTTTAATTTGACCAGAGAGGGACAGAGTGAGTGACAGAGAGAGACAGAGAGACAGAGAGAAGGTGAAAAAACAAGCTGCCAGATCTGGAACTTGAACTGTGGTCGGCCGTGTGGGAATCCAGTGCCCTTAACCACATGCCACCTGCTGGCCCCCAAACTGGGACATTTTTGAGAATGAATGAGAAAGCTAGTAATTGCTCTGGTTCAACGGGTATCAGTTGTTCCAGGTAAATCGAGTGGCATGGTGGCCCACCTACACACAGCATCCTGGCTGCTAATACTTTCGTGATCTCAGGACCAGCAGGTGGCATGGTAGTTAAGGCACTGGATTCCCACATGGCTGACCACGGTTCGAGTCCCAGACCCAGTGACTTGAAAATCATGCCGGCTGTGTGTATGTGTAAGTCCAAAATCCCAGGAGGAGAGCGGAGGAGAGGTGATTTTGGCAAGGACAAATCAACCCCTGCCTGGGAGGTGATTTCTCGCTTCTCGGTCTCTCCAGTGAGTGCACAAATCCTACTACAGCAAAATCTCTCTTAGATAAATAAACACTTTCATGGTCTCATTCGTCTGTTTCAACAGTCCTGAGATTGGTATGGTCACGTCCATTTTTCAGGTAAGAAGATGGAGCCTCAGGCAGAAGATACTTTTCATACAGTCAGAAGGAGCAAAGCCACCCTGGGCAGCCAGAGCATGTGATTCTAAGTCCTGGGGCAGTTTATTTTTAGTTTTACTATAGGGTGTGTGTGCTTGCCAGAGAGAAACAGCAAGAGGGAAAGTGAGAAAGCCCTCCTCCCGGGGGGAATAACCAGGCCACAACCCCCTCATCCCTATTCTCTCAGATTTCTGGGCATGTAGGCACACACGCCCAGTGTGATTTTCAAGCCATCGGGTCTGGGGCTTGAACCATGGAATCGGACATGTGGGATCCTACACCTTAACCTCCACACCACCTGCTGGTCCAATTCTGGACTTTTATTATTTTTTTTAGAATTATTTATTTAACTTTATTTATTCATTCATTTATTTTTAATTTGACCAGAGAGAGACACACACAGACAGAGAGAGAGAGGTTAGAAAGCAAGTCACCAGGTCCAAGACTACAAACTGTGGTTGGCCATGTGGGAATGTCCAGCGCCTTAACCACCATGCCTCCTGCTGGTCCCCCAATCCTGGGCTTTTTCTAACTCCAGACTGGTCTCCTCTGATGCCAGAAGCCTGCTGTCTGGGTTAGTGACATGGTCC